TGGTGGCACCCGAGCAAATGCCCCTTGTGGGAACACTGCAGTGAGCTGCTTGGAGACAGGGTATACGTGGTGCCCTGGGCCAGGGTGTTTCTTCAGGGAACCTGCTGTCTGGGTGCGCACATAGTCAATGCATGCCCAAGGCACCTTGAAATCCCAGCTGAAACTGGGGATCTGCTTAAGCAATAGGAGAACATGCATGAAATAGGATACCTTGACTAGGTGGCAGCAAGACGCACCCTTCCAGTGCAAAGTGCTACCTGGTCAGCTTAAGATACAGTCTTCTCTGGAGATGATGAATATAGGGGAACCGATCTGCCACGCACAGCCCTGGCATATCACGGTGGCACGGAACTGCTGTGCCCATCCAAGGGATGTGCAGGCATGCAGTGACCCCAGCCTGTCTGGGGATGGGCTGCAGTGGCTCTGCAGACACTGGCTCGCTCCCAGGACCATAGCGGGTAGCTGTGCCACACTCTGTGGTGGTGCTAAAAACCAGCCAGATCTCTGTGTTTTGGAAAGACTTGTCTTTCTGGAAAGCCATGAAAAGACAGTAAACTAAGGTTACTCAGAAGCCTGCCACTCACTTTTCAAGGCATGGTGTATTCCCAAGCAGAGCCTAGGAAAGTAGCCAAGTAAGCCCAGGAAAAGAGCTGGGAAAGGCACAAGACCCAGTGTAGCTGTGGGAAGCATTGAGGCAAAAGCCCATGGAATGAGATTCACACCCAGCATGTGAGACTCGATGGATCTGCCACTTCACAGAGCCAGACTCCATCCCCCAGTGAATGCGGATGACAAAAGGATAGATGCTGCCAGGCTATTTGCCCTTGCTGTTGCTGCAGTGGCACTGACACAGCTCAGAACCCGGCAGCTCTAGAAGAGGAGTTCAGTTGCCCACAGGACCGCAGCTGTCCCCCAAGTGCGTGAAACTATCTGGGTTTCTCAGTGATATTTTCCATCCCTAGGGAAAGGAGAAACCCCCAGAAATGCTGTTACTACAACACCCTTGAAAACAGTCAGCACTTTTCTGCTTGGGAGACTGTGAAAATTTGGGCCACACTTCTGCAGTGTTTGACCCTCTGCTACCTGGTCCCCTTAAGACTCCTTCTTTTCTTAGGGGGAGGAAGGAAAGCAGTTTGCCTTGGCAAACAGCTTGCTATGAATATTATGAATTCAAAAGCAAGTGGAGCTTGTGGTTGAAAAGAAACCGTGTGATCAGCAGAACTTTTCTCCCTCAGCTTGTAAGGGCAGATTCAGTCCCAAGGCCAAGCTGCCATGTGGTTATAAAATAAAAGCAGGCCTTGTAAGAACTGATCTAACTTTCTTCAATTGTCTGTGCATCTTTAATCATGTTCACCACTTAAAATGCAGTGGAGCTGGCAGCTGATAATTAGGCTGAGCCTGCAGCAGCATGGCCAGCGGCCAGATCACATGGCTCCTTTCATCTGCATATTTATGCATTTAAAGGAGAGGAAAACTTTCATAACATTTTAATAACGAGGTTCTTCTGAATCCATAAATCCAGTCCTCTGGGCTCAGTCTACACTCTTTCTGATCTTACATAAGTGGAAGAGGGTGGAGTGTTTGTTTGTTCTCCCTATTCTTTTCCTGTGCATGAACGTGCAAAGCCCATCCTCTGAAGTTCAGGGTCCTCCAGAGGATGGGAGGGTCAGGCAAGGTAAAACTGCACTTCTAAGGATGAAGGTATAACTTTGATTTGGTTCCTGGCACGGGAACAATTCCACTTTCCCAAGATAGTTCATCTACAGACTGGCAGGACTGAAGCTCCTTTGCTAAACAATGTCTCCAAAGAATTCCTGATATCTCTATTTAAAACAGAAGCTACAGTGCATGCTGGCCATTGCACTTTTTAGCAAATCACCATCAGATCTAGCCTAGGGTGGCGATGCTTCAGACCACAGGCTGAAAGATGTCAGGACGTAGGGAGGCGGTTCCAGTCTGTGTTGGTGGGTGCTGGAGCTCTGCCTCCATTCACGCTGCCAGAGGCAGCAATGGGCAGACAGTATCCCTCCATGCAGTGCCTCCAACCTCCTCCCATGGGCAGATGCAGCCTGCTAGCTACTGAAGGCTGCCAGCCTACTGAACAGCTCTGTACTGGCCATCGGCCACCAGCCATTGCCCTTCTCTCCTGGTGGGGCTGTGTCAGGGTGATGCTGCAAAGGGCTCTGACAAGGGGGATGCCATCTCCATGTCCCCAGCCTATGGGTGACAGCTCCCTTGACAGCCTGGGTGACATCCTACAGGGTCCTTCGCAGCGAGGCTTTGCCAACCATCCTCCCTCTCCCTGGCAGCATCACAGAGCCTGTGCATGTGGGTTTTTCCATTAGCACTGAATGGCAGCTGCTATCAGGAGGAAAACAGAGAAGGTGAGGATGAGAGACTAATCCTTATGCTTCTGTGTTATCTTAGTAAGATGGAGGAAGCACTGTTAAAATAACACGTCACTGAGTTCTTTCAAAGATGAAGTATTCAGCTAAAATAAAAACTATTTAATTAGATACAGTTCTTAAAACACTTTATTTTTTTAATTGAAAAGTCAGTTATTCTACCTAAGATTCCCTGGGTGAACTGAAGAATATTTTGCTGGTTTAGAAGGGTCTTTGTAGAGGCTTTAATTGTTCTTACCATACAGCAAGCGAATGAGCAAGCCAGTTGAGACGATTAGACAATTTCCAGAGCACTTCTTGAACTGACCTTTAGCTGTGCCAGTAAAACTTTGGGGTTCAACACTGCTTTATAGTACAAGTGAATATAGGCTGGTGCAATTTCTTTGTTTCAGAGGTAATGTCATGTAACATGACATAGTCTTACAACAGTAGTTTTGCTACACAAAGTGAAAGAGTCAAGCTCTGAAAAATGCAGACCATGGCATTAACTTCACTGGGAGGGACTGTGAATTGTCTCTTGTGTGTTTAAAGAATCAAAAGAAACAAACAAGGGTGAGATTAATTAGGAGTGGGAATTGACGACTCCCTCTCCAAGTGAATGAGGAACAGCACCAGATGAGACACAGCAGCAATGCTGACATGCTTCTTCCTTCCATTCTGAGAGAATTTCCTTTGCACCCCAGTGTCCTCAAGATATTCATAAACTGCCTCCCTGGCTCCCCAGTGTGATGATTAACTTGTGTCCCCAGGTTCCATTATCAAGCTTTCAGTCTAAGCCTGAACTCTCTGATCTGTCATCTGAAGTAGTGAGGGAATTTGCAGCAGGACTTTTCCCAGAAAAGAAAAACAATTCACTTGCTAAAGACATTATGTGGGAAATATAACTTACAGAATCTGGAAATTTGGGTGTTTATTTTGTAGCTTTAGGAGACACTGATGTTTTACTTCATTTTCTACTTGCATCTTAGTACTGTGAGTAGGGCGAAAGGTTTCAGCCATAAAGTCCATGAGAGACTCCCATTGATTTTGATGGGGTTTGAGGATGAATACTGATAAATGCAATGTAATGTAGGAATATGCGTTTTCTTAAGCCTTGCTTAGACTTGGATTTGGAAGGTGTGAGGCACCATGTGAATAACACAATGCAGTCTAAGCACTGCAGTTTTAATGCATGGCTTTAACCCTGGTTGTTTGCAGGAGGCTATTACTACATTGTATTTAGTACTTGTTAATCTAAAATTCATTGATGGTAGATGAAGAGAAAGGTTACAAATCAAAGGCAGGGTGATCTTGTGGTCACACCATTCAGATGTGGCCTCCTGCTACATGTGGGACTATTCTGCTTCTGATAGTATAGAAACAAGGGCTCCCCACTCATACCACCGCCTGTGGTTTTGGCTGTGAAGGTAAGAGGCTGTGGGGCCATGCGTGAATGTTGAGGGTGTGGGTCTATGAATTAAGAAATGTGTGGGCTGGGATAGCACATGGGGAGTGGGAGGTCAGTAAGTGACAGGAGGGAGAGACCTGAGTGCAGCCTGAGGTATAGATTATGGGGTAGGGAAGAACAGTGGTTGTGGTACTTGGGATAGGGCAGTTGTGGTAGTCAGTGCAGTGCAGGGACATAATCTGGTGCCCAGAAAGGCCAATTATATATTTCTTAAAAAGCCATCAGCATCTCCATCTCCTCCACAGCTACGCTGGGGAGTTTCCCCTACCAGTAAACCCAGTGCTTTTGCCATCTGGGTTGGCCGGCCAGGAGGGCTGCTCCAAAGCACAAGCCCTTGTTTGGAGCCCTCGCACAAAGTCAGGAGGTCAATTCAAGCAGAGGTGTCTGGCAGACATTCCCTCTGGCTATCACCCCTCCTTGGTGCACTCAGACTTGTTTGATGTACTCTGAAACATTTTGCCATTAACCAGGAGCTACCATTCAGGACAAATCCACCATCCTGGACTAAGCACATGCTACTGAGGAGGCAGAGAGGCTCATGGTTCTTTCTCATACAAAATTCTCTTCCGTGAGTTTGCCTTCACCACTGCTATCTCCACACTGTTATTGATGGCACTTTGGTAAACTGGGACAGTGGAACCACGGAGAAAGATTGCTGCAAGTGCTATAGTTAGGGGGGGAGATTCACTCTGAAGTCCTACCAAGCTGTAACCATGGGCTATTCTCGATGCTGGAGTTGCATGTCACTAATTCCTCAAACTGGACCCCAAACCAGATCTTTCAACCCGATAGGACCAAAGTGCTCTGACTGCTACCCACAAGGATCAGTGCTTGGTACATGAATTTATAGGAGACCTTACAGAAATTAATGTTAATCCACATGTGTGATTTGGGCCTGCAGCTGCCTGTAATAAACTCTTGTTTTTTCCCAAACCTAACTTGAAAGTTCATTTATTTGAGTGATGATCACCAAAGTTTGCAGAACTTCATGTAAGAATACAGATATGACTTTCACTGTTATTTCAACCTTGTGTGATGCTCCAGGAGTTGCTTTTTCTTTATCAGGGTCTGTCCTTCTTGCTCTGCCTCCCAATCTGTCATGAAGTCACCAGTTATGTTAAAGCCTGCACAAACATACTGAACATGAGTCATGCGGCATCTGTTGCTATTTATTAAATTGCGGTTTGTATCTTTGGAGTACATGGTATTATTCTTCCTGGATATGGCTTTATCTCTGTTTTTACAACATGGAATTAATTAAGAATATTAAAGTTTGTGTTTAAAATAATGATATTCCTAACTTTTATCTATGGAGGCAACATTTTCATATCCATTCTCTCCTAATGGCAGCATCCTTTGGGAAGAAGTGATAGACACATTTAGGTAAATATTATTCCTCCAACACACATGGTTTCCATTGCAATTGATCTCCCACTGTTTCCTTCTAAGCATTTTCCTCCGTTACATATTGCACGATGGTGGCTCAAATACTGATCAGCGACAGCAGAGACAAATTGACTCCAGCAACTGGGAGCTTTTTTAAGGGCAGCAAATCTTTGTATCTGAGTTCCATACAAACCATAGTTACTGAAATACAGTTTTTAGGCATGCACTGAAATTTTCACTGGCATTGAAAGTCTGAAGTTGCTTGAGGCAGTTATAATTTAATAAAAGGATAGACTGAATAAAGACTGACTGAGTGAGATGAGACATAAAGATAGCACACTACAAACCAACCACATGGGCCCACAATCTGTAGAGAAGATGCTTGCTCCTGTAGCATCCCCTTTGGGCTGTGAGCACCCCGGGTGCTCCACACAGCCCTGGTGCAGGAGCTTGGTGGTCACAAGCTGCTCACTGCAGGCTAGCAGAGAATTCATTCTACATGCTTTTAAACTGGCACAGCCACTGGAAAAGGTTTCTTAGCAGATGATAACAGCAAGAAGGTGGGAAAAGCAGGGTGGGAACCACTTTTTCCAGTGATTATGTTTCCTCAAACGCATGACAAACTATAGCTCTAGATGTGGCGGGGTGATAAAACATTTTCCCTCACCCAACATTCTCTGGACACCGTTGGGCTGCACTGGGATGTCACTCCAAACCACTAAAACTGGTATGCCCACCAGGTGCTACGTGCTGTGGGGAGCTAGCAGACATACAGTGAGAATGGTGCATGCGCTTTTACCAGCGTATTTGCAGCATCTCCTAAGTCTCTAGCACATGAACAGAATTGGACATAAATGTATGCCTGTGCCCTAGCTCTTTGTCTGTGCTAGTGTCCTTGGGTTCAGCAGTAGCAGTCATTTTTCTCTTTCTTAGTAACTGGTACAGTGCTGTGTTTTTGACTTTCAGCCTGGGAACAGTGCTGATAACACCGATGTTTTTAGTTGTTGCTCAGTAATGTTTACTCTGACCAAGGACTTTCTGAGTCTCATGCTCTGCCAGGGAGGAGGGGAAGCCGGGAGGAAGCAGAGACAGGACACCTGACCCAAACTGACCAAAGGGGTATTCCATACCGCAGCACATCATGCCCAGGATGTAAACTGGGGGCCGTTACCCGGAAGGGCTAGATCACTGCTCAGTCGGGCTGGGTATTGGTCAGCGAGTGGTGAGCAGTTGTATTCTCTTCCCTTGTTATTTCCCTTATCATTATTATTATTGGTGGTATCAGCAGTGATCTGTGTTATACCTTATTTACTGGGCTGTTCTTATCTCAACCCATAGGAGTTACATTCTTTTGATTCTCCTCCCCATCCCTCCAGGAGCAGGGGGGAAGGAAGCAGGGGAGTGAGGGAGCAGCTGTGTGGCTGAGTTTAAACCACGACAGCTAGCACAGTGAATGTGCTCATAGGGGTCCAGGTCCTAAGAATGTACCTACTTGTTTGCAGGGAGTGATCTAAATGCCCTCCAAAAGCCACTTGCAATGGCAAGAGCAGATCAAGCATTGGGATTCCTTGAAGCCTGGCTTTCCTTCTTATTTATTTATTTATTTATTTATTATTATTATTATTTGCTATGCACTGTGTCTTCAAACCTTTTAAGGCAGGATGATAGGGCCTCTGCTCCCAGGCACTAACTGCATGTTTGAAGCTGGAACCTGCATTAAGACAAGTGACAGTGACATACCCTGCCCCGTGTGCCAAGGGCCTGAACCTTACTGCCTGACAGGCAGTCACACAATGAAAACTTGATGGAAAATTCTGCAGTGTGAAAGGAGCGTCACATGGCTAAAATACACACATAAATTTTTTTACCAGGAGAGATTTTTAGGATGGGAATATTGTTCTAACACAAACCGGAATCAGTTTAACTTCTGCATTCTCTCTCTGTTTCTTCCTCACCAAAATGACCTCAGGCTGGCCCTTGCTCTTGCTCTTGCTCTGAGGAATATACTTTTGATTTGTATCTCAGGAGCCTGAGAGACATGGAATAAACACTCATTACCCCTTGCTAATGTAAAGCACCTGCCTGAAGCTCTGCTCAGTGGGTTCAATGTAAAACAATAGTGGACCCCTGGCAGGAGCTTTCCTTCAACTTCCACAGGACACACTGTAATGGACAGAGTGGTCTGTGGCTGTCCATTTAAAAAGCCTTGCCATCACAAAGCCTGTAGCAATGTGGCCGTTACTAAGAAGAGCCTTCTTGTTGTATTAACTAGGAATTCTCTTTAATTGATATGACTATCAGAGTCCTCAAGCTTTAGTGTAAGCAGCAGGCGTTGCTGTGCATGAGAGAGCACACGTGCAATGGCATTGCTGTGGGTTAATAGAGTACTAACAAGCTGAAAGGTGAGATCCTGCACTAGGAAACACAGAACCAGGTCATGAAAAACAGCACAACCCCAGGCAAGAACTCAGGCATTTTTAGCCAGACGGTATCCCAGCTGCTACAGAGGTCCACATGGAAATAGCCACAACGTCATAGGCTACAAGGAGTCAATGGCAATGTCCCAAGAGCTGTCATTTCCACCAGAATTATGGGCCATGTGGAAAACTCAGTACGGCATTACACAGAGGCTGCAGTGTGGCTCTCCTGCACGAGGCTGGAGACCCTGCAAGGCATTAGGTGAGCAGTGCTTTGGGCTTTCCCCAACTGCGCTACAGCAGAAGAGGTACTGTATGAGGTACTGCACGATCACTGCTTCCAGGCACTCTCAGGAGTGGAACGTTATGTTGCCATCTCCTACAGCCTGAAACTAGACTAACCCCTGCCTTTTTTTCATTGGCCACATCTACAATGGCCGTTTTAGCGAAGGGCATATGCAGGAGGCTCTTGGGACCAGACTGTTTCTTCTACACCTATGAGTCTGCAAGCAGAGCCACAGAACATTCTCCAAGACCTAAGTGCCCAAGGGGCTCAGGCATATTCGTACACAGGTCAGAGCACTCACAGATTGTCCTGAGGAGTGGGTAATGATGCAAGCTGAGCTCAAGGTGAGAAACGACTGCATTTCTTCATTTGGTTGCAGTAAAGACTTAGACAAAAACTTCTCACAGCATGCTTAGAATAAACATAGTAATTCTTTATCATACAGAGTCACACCTTACACATAAATAATTTGAATGTCTTGTTCTTTCATGGAAAGTAACAGAGAAAAACCTTCAAGGTTGATACATGGGATCTGGCATTACAAATCACATAGGGTCAAACCCAAATCCTGCATCCAAACATGCAGACATTTGGCTCCAAAGCTGACTTATACGATACCTCCCTCCCCTGCCCTGGAAGGAATGGAATCAGGACCCTCCTTGGAAGACCACCCCCATCATCAACCTCTGGTTATGGATCCCAACCCTGCAACCTTGGCCCCATAGCTCAGATCCAGTCTTCTACAGCTGCAGTGGTATGAAGTCCTGGTCGGCAGCTGCAGAAGGAGCCATTGTCTTCTCCAAGGTGTGTTATCCATAGGTTTTCAGAGGTGACTGAACTAACTAAGCATACCCAAGCTGGAGCCCGTGCAGCTATTTCTATTTCTTGGCTGACAAGCTGGTTACCAAAGCAGCAAGGCGAAGGATTGCACAGTCTAGCGACATTTGACTACAACTGGGACTGCAGAACAGCAGTGTGGGAACAAATACGGAAGCTAGCAGGGCTGCAATGAGAAATCTGAGCTTTGATCAAGGAGGCAGCAGCATCTGACTCTATCTGGGCTGGCAGGGTGATCCCATCCCAAAGCAAAAGAAAATAAGCCATTCTTTTCAGCAGATGAAATTCTCCCCAGTGGTTTGTTCCTCCCAGGATCATTTTATGTGATCTCATTGTCTCTAAAGTCTTTCCCCTGAGGAAGGCGATCGTTTAACATAGACTACAGCGTTAGCATCTGGTATTAAATCAGTCAGGCTACTCTGAAATGAGGCGAGTGGGCGTCCTGGAAAGAAAATAAAAACCCAAGTTTAATAGAGGACATAGGTTCACCTTGACCCACGCTATTTGTTACAGAAGACATAGCAACACACAGCTCACTCAACAGAGAGCCACTCCACCCTGCCAGAGATGTATTTCACACTCCCAGCAAACTCCAGATGCTCACTGAATGTGCACAAGCAACACACAATCGGGCCCCAGAGGCTGTTACATCTTGATTTGCTTTACCAAGCTGCCCTAAGAGGAACTAAGCATGTTCCCACAAATCTTCTTAATCCAAGTGGCAAAGTTAGGCACTCGGCATTTCAGCCACACACTTTTGGCATATTTGGCTGCAAAGATGAACTGCAAAAATGTGGAAGAAAACTGTCAGGAAGGGAAATATTAACAGACCACAGGCATGGTGCAGGATGGCAGGGAACAGCATTCAAGCCAGGAGCAGCAGGAAGGGTCTTCTGCTGCTGTTTCTTCATCCCCACTGCTGTTTCTTCATCCCCACTGCTGTTTTAAGGGGGTTCCTTGCAGCCAGGCACTGAACACAGCAATTAACAGCTGCCTTGTGAGAAACCAGATGCAATGTGTTGGACACAGCTCACACAGTCCATTGTTGGTGTGAAACGAGCTCAAAGAGCATTGCATTGATATAAGCGTCCTTATGTCAATAGTTAGCCACATGCCAATTGCACACGAACCGATGGAAAAGCTGTGGTTTTGGCAGTTTTGGTGTTTGGGGTTTCTTTTTCATGTCTTGTAAGCCAACTAAGACATGATTCTTTGGCACCATCATGAGTGAAAACACCCATTTACCTCACTTAGTGTTTCACTTCACAAGTAACAATTTAGCCAGTGATTGAAGTGTCAGTTAAATGAGGTGATTTATAATAATTCTGAAAACCTGCTAACCATAGGAAGCTATAATCAGAGCTAATTACAGGGACAACTTGGAAATCCATTGGTTTAGGGCTTTAGTTTTGATAAAGGGGATAACAACTTGTAAGCTATGATTCTTTTAATTATAACAATAGCAACCACCTTCTTTTACATAGCTTCTTTCATCTATAGAAACCCCACAGCTTTAGCAAACTATACAACCACAGGAATCATTTAGCCCAACACCAAAGTGAGGCTATCTCTACATGAAATAAGTAACTGTTTAATAATGCCTAGCTGTCCTGTGCCAAATTTGCAGAGGAAAGAAAGTGCAGAAAGAGAATGTAATTTCTTTCATGTTTTCTTATGAACACTCAGGGGATCCTTCGATGCCCACCGCAGCAGCCATCTGATCTTGAGATTAAGGAAGGCAGTTTTTGTATGCACCCATAGACTCATGGCAGCACAAGGAGGGCAGCAGCATCATCCCCACTCATGACTAAGGAAGCAGGGGCACCACATAGCAGGACCGCAGGACCCCATCACGTTTGCCCAAGCTCACCTGTCCAGGTCCTCTGCTGGGTGATGATAAAGCTTTGACACTGCAATTGGGAGTTACAGATTGCAGCAGCTTCCTCAGCACTGTGAACGGAAAGCAGGCATCTCAGATGGCTGTAGGAGGGCCAGCACTTGTAGTCTTCTCCTTCCACCATTCGGAAGCCCTTTAGGGAGATGTAGTCTGGAAACAGGAAGAAGGTTTTTAGGGAAACTCTTTAGCTGCATTTCCAGTGGCTGGTTACACTATATACTTAGTGTGCTGCACTTTAGTGAAGCTGTAAGGAATGTGATAGTGATAGGTTGAACTGATGTACCTAATGGAATGAGTGCAGCTGCAAAGTTCAAAGAAACTTAAATCGTGACTTTTGGTTCTGCTATGGAGCACACAACAGCAGTTTCTCCACAGATGTAAGGGAGGGAGCAGAGCTCTCAAGGGTGAAGGGGCAGGGAAGTGACCACAGAGGTGAGAGGGGAAAGCTGATGTGCTGCTTCTCCAGAGAAGCCAGCACCACAATGGCCTCTCCTACACCCCAGCCCCAACAGCTGAACCAGCTCATCACAGATCCAGCACTCAGCTACATGGGGCACACGCTGGCCCACCCATAGGTGTGGGAGACTTAGGAACCTCACTGGGGGAAAGGGAGGCCAGCTCTTGCTCCAGTGGGATACAAAAGACCTGACAAGCCTGAGCAGACATGTTCAGGCTATTGTTCGTTGACTACTAAGAGTCTCTCCCTACCTTCCCACACCCCTAGGATGGTGATTGTTTTGGCACATTGCTACTGGGCAAGTTGTGAAGCCAACAGGTAGGTGTTGTTGGAAAATATTAGTAATTTCTGTTAAAGCTGCTGGTCCTTCAGTGCAAATGACAGGATGTCTTTGTTCATAATGGTGCAAATTCCAGTTCTTTCACACATAAAGAGATTTCCTTCTGCAGGCCACCAGTGCCACTCCATCTCAAGTGAACACTCAGGAAAATGTAAGTCACAGTAACCACTGGCTTTTGAAGCATTCCTTTTGATTAGCCTCGTTTCTACCACCAAATGGGTCTCTTCCTCATAAAAGTTCATTTATCTATCCACAGGTCCAATAGGATGGTCTTCAGAAAAGAAGAAATTTAGAGGGCACCCATGCCCCAGCTCCTCTGCCACATTCATTTCAGTGTTGTCATCCCCCCACTGCACATTCCCACAATAACCTGTGCTAAACAGCCAGAAGCTACCAAATGAAATGGGAAGTTTCAATATCAGCCTGGAAAACTGACCTACTGGTCCATAGGATAAGATGACCCTGAAGAGAGACAGGAAACACTCAGTTTGCCACTCTTGTCTACTCACTTAAGCAATCCCAAATATATTCACTTGAAACACTGGTGTGCATTATAAGAAGAGTATTTAGAAGCAGTGCAAGCATACCTCCATATGGAGGCCAGATTGTCTGCACTGCTTTTACTTTGCAAAGCAGTGCAATCATGCATAGCTCCCATGAAAAAACAACAAAAGACTGCTCAAGAAAAAGATACTTTTGGTGCTTTTCCC